GCTTCACGTTCATGAATGCACGAATGGATGCAGAAGATGGCATCCCTGAAATAAGATTCACATGTCTATTGGATACTCTGTGAGTGGTGAATTTTGACTCAGTGAGCCATGTACCATGAGAACATGATACATGGTTTAGAAATGTCTACCTCCTCTCCACCATTTTTCGATACTCCACTCTCATCAGGAAGCCTCTGCATCTGGCCTGTGTTCTAGTCATGATCTCTGCTAGTTTCTCATCTCTCATCTCCTCCAGCAGACCTATCAGCCCAGCTTTGAAGAACACCTTGAGAAAGGGAACATTGTACTAAATCAGTCTCAGGTAGTGCATAAGAGAGGAATCTATTATTTGAACATAAAATCTGTTTCTACCTTGGTGTGACCAAATCTGTATTGGGTGTGATCCACATCAATGGACCCAAGAAGCTTTTCTGAAGCCTTCTTACTATCCATGAACTGACCTTCTGGAATAGCACTTATATTAAGCACCCTATATCTGCAAGAGAAAGCGCAAGAAGATATCCACATTGCTGCAACCATCACTGCAACTGAATCCACAGCCTTCTCAGCAACAGATGAGTGACTGTTGTGTATTAGAGACAGTCCCTTCTTTCAAGCCAGTGTATGTGAAGTTTTCATATTGTTAAGTTAGAGTCCAAGGGAATCATGATCATCAACCATGTCATATCATTATGAACTGGTATTGAATCGTTTTTATATTAATACACATTTCCTCAATATTTTTTCTGTTCTCAGCAACAGCTGTCCACTGTTGAGCTTCAGCAACAACTGACTACATTCTTGATAGGGACAGACCTCCCTTTGAACATTTTTAGGACATTGGTTGGAAACTTGTATTGTTCAAATGTGATGTGGATTTGTGAAGGAAACTTTTATGTTACCAGTAGTATACTACTCTAATGTGATTTGATTGGAGAATGTATATACTAAACTGTGTAGTAAATTTGATACTTAAGTAATTTAGTATATAGATGCTGTAGAACAGGAAAAAAATGGGAAGAAAACACCCCTACCTTTGTTTGAAGTCAGCATACAGGACTCTGCTGGGGAAGCCTTTCCTGCAAATTCTGATCCCTTCCAGCACACCATTGCATCGCAGTTGATGCAGCACCAACTCATGCTCCATGGCACCTAACAAACACCACCATTAGTGACTGGTCAATAGTTAGTTCCTATTAGTGACTACTCCATTTTTCAATTATAGGAGAAGTACTTCATTGACTTCAGATTTCCCCCTATTGTATGTCCTTACCAGGTGTTTTTGTTTCATTTGGGATGATGCAGCGTACAAAATGGGGGTGGGTGCTGCGCAGATTTGTCATCAGCTTGTTTAAATTCTCCTGTGAGATTTCAAGGTAAAGTTTAAATCTACAAATGAAAGATCTACATCCTTGCAGCTGCACACATTTCACCCATGGAAAAGAAGTTATTAATTTGTCAGATTGAAACCAGAGTGCAAAATTTCCATATTAATGTACAAAAGCTTGTGCCTTCATCCATCTTTCACTGATGAAAATTACTATTAAAAGGAATTTTAATTCAGTTACTGTGTCACCATAATTTATTATTTTCAAAAAATAATTTTAACCTAAGAAATAGACGTGTATGAGAAAAGATCTGAATTACAACATCCTCAACTATTTGAAAGAGTTCTCATTTTTATATATCAATGAGAGTATATAATTCCATGTTAAAAAAAATAATTAAGAGAAGAAACTAGTCTTTCATTGAAATGGAAATTTTATCTATAGTACATAACCTTCTTCAACCTTTTGCAATATGACTTCAGGAGTTATAACATCATCCCTTCCTTCAAGTAAAAAGAGACAAAGTAAGGAAACCAATACATACCCGGAAAAGAGCGGAGACAGTCTGAAAAGAAGAACCTTTCTTCTTGCCACCCTTCTTGCCACCACCCTCTATAAATGAAAGAAGGGGAAAACAATAGTAAAATATTTATGTTGAACACTAAACTACAGAACAGGAAACAATTTTTAAGCATCTAAGTTTCCTGTTTGATTTCCTACCAATATTTTCCCACTTTGAAAATAGAATTTTCACGGAGCTGACCTGCATCTGCTCCACCATAGTTGGCAAAGAGCAAGGCCAATGTCTTCACAGATGATTTCTGGTACAACCCAATGACAGTTTCATTCAGGGGGTCTTTGTTCTTCTCAAGCCAACCGGTGATGTTATAGTCCACTGTGCCAGCATAGTGTATCAGGGAGAAGTGGGCCTCAACCTTCCCTTTGGCTGGCTTAGGCTTCTGGAAGTTGCTGGACTTGCCCAGATGCTGGTCATAGAGCTTGTTCTTGAAAGAGGTGTCTGTTGCCTTGGGAAACATGCACTCCTCTTCCAGGATGGAGAAGATGCCCATGGGCTGGCAGACATTACAACACACAAGAAGGAGAAACAGATTCCTTGGTTGGAAAGAATCATAGAATCATAGAATCATAGAATGGTTAGGGTTGGAAGGGACCTTAAAGATCATCTAGTTCCAAACCCCCTGCCATGGGCAGGGACACCTTCCACTAGACCAGGTTGCTCAAAGCCACATCCAGTCTGGCCTTGAAGACATCCAGGGATGGGGCATCCACAACATCTCTGGGCAACCTGTTCCAGTGCCTCACTACCCTCTCTGTGAAGAATTTCTTCCTGACATCTAATCTAAAGAGGTTAGTGTAAGGACAAATCAGAAGTGTGAAACAAATCAGAAGATAAGGTTTCTTCTGTTCTTTACTGGACAATATGTCACAGAAAATTAAATGAGATTCATCCTTTTTCATTTCACCTTTAATTGTGAAACTACTTTTAAACATTGCTGGCAACATTACAAATTACAGAAATACAGAGTGCTTTAATAGCTTAAATTTATCATTGTAATCCAGATATTTAAAAAAATTCTCTATGTATCCCTCAATAACTAGAGAATTCTAGCATTGAAGAAAGGCTGAGACAACTGGGCTTGTTCAGCCTGGAGAAGAGAAGGCTCCGGGGAGACCTTATAGCACCTTCCAGTACCTGAAGGGGGCTACAAGGAAGATGGGGGGAACTTTTTACAAGAGCTTGTAGTGACAGGACAAAGGGTAATGGGTTTAAATTGAAAGTGGGGAGGTTTAGATTAGATATCAGGAAGAAGTTCTTCACAGAGGTGGTGGTGAAGCACTGGAACAGGTTGCCCAGAGAAGCTGTGGATGCCCCATCCCTGGAAGTCTTCAAGGCCAAGCTGGATGAGGCTTTGAACAACCTTGTCTAGTGGAGGGTGTCCCTGCCCATGGCAGCCATGATCTTTAAGGGCCTGTCCAACACAATCCATTCTGTGATTCTATGATTCTATGATACCTTCTCAATCAGCTCAATGCAGGCAGCCAGGTCCATCCCAAAGTCAATGAATGTCCATTCAATTCCTTCCTTCTTGTACTCCTCCTGCTCCAGCACGAACATGTGGTGGTTGAAGAACTGTTGCAGTTTCTCATTGGTGAAGTTGATGCACAGCTGCTCAAAGCTATTGAACTGACAAATGTATAAAAAATTGCAATGTTTTCAAGATTCATCACCACAAGCCTTTTTCTTATGTGGGAGCTACAGGAGAGGTGAGAT